GGAGCCATGTCCAGGCACGAGCTGGTGCTGGATGGCCCCTCCCCCAGTGCATTCCTGTGCCATTAGGCAGAGAGGTTAATGTTTACTAACCTAACCCTAAGCCTAACCCTTCCTGTGCCACTCGGCCCCGGCGGTGCGACCCAGGGCCCTCCATCGTTAGAGCTCATTGCCTAATTACAGGCCAGTCAGGAGGTAATTACAGCCTGACATCAGAGGACGCTGCTTCGCTTTTTTCATTGCTGGGCCAGAAAGCGGCCACTCGTGGTCGTGTCTTTGGTACTCTCTCTCTGTCTCTCTCTCTCTCTCTGTCTATCTCTGTCTCTGTCTATCTCTGTCTCTCTCTCTGTTTCTCTCTCTCTCTGTCTATCTCTGTCTCTCTCCCTCTCTCTCTCTCGCACTCGGCCCTGGCCGCCTGGACCATCCAGTTCAGATTAGCCGTGTGTGCCCGGGCTTGGCGGGGGGTGGCTGTCCTCACACATACACACGCTCGGCCTGCTATGCCCCCGGTAGCGATTCATACAGATACATACGTGGATTTTATTGCATTACCCCAAAATTCACACATGAATAATTACTGTATGGTTCTGACGTAGATTCCGTGCCGCACGGCGAAAGGCTCCCTTATCCCACTAAAGGCACACGGCGCCGGTACCACAGGTGGTGCAGATTCGGACCCGGAGGTCAGACATGGCGCCGCAGGAACTCGCCCGCTGCATGACTAGCACATGGACGGGACACAGGCCCCCGGCCCCCGGCTCCGCATCAGCCCCCCGGTCCGTTTCCGTTCCCTGCCCTCTGACTCTTATGCTGCATTCATTTACCTCGGAGGTCAGAAGTCGAAGCTGGGAATGATGTCACCCCTGTTAAGCGCATTCTAGTACAGCAAGTTGGAAAGCGCTAGTTCAAGTCAGCTTTGTTGTTAGCCATTGTTAGCAATTCTAGTTAATAACAATGCATTATGCTGTATCCAGATAGCGGCTGGACAGTACTGTGTCCACGACCGATTTAATGAGCCACAAATTAGACGTAAATGCTAACAGTATATAACTACGGCTTTCACTTCTGTGGATGAAGAGAGCAGCCTTGTTGAATACTGAGGTCGGGGTTACAGAAGCTCCGAGTCAGAATTCCAAATCGGCGGTGTTCCAGTCGAAATTTCCGACTGGGAATGTTGAAATTCCAACTTCCCAGTTGAAGTGCAACGCAGCATCTCCCTCCTAATCTGGGATTGGGGTGTAGTAGGAGCCCCCCTTATTTGGTGTGGGAGGGGCCTGGTGGCCACAGCAGTGAATCCTGTAACATGGAAGCCTGTTACATTCCGCCAGACACTGTGAAGCTTTGTTCGGAAAGTCCACGTCTGTGTCTGACTTATCAGGAAGTACGGTGTTTAGCCTTGACCTGGCCTGTGACCTCACCCCACTTAGGGAGACTTTAACCTAGGGCTAACTTACACAGTAAGCACACACAGGCTGACACAAGCCTCAGCACCAGTAACCGAGAACCTGCACTTTGCTTCGAAGAACAGCTGCACCGGTAACAAAGAACCTGCATTTTGTGTCATAGAATAGCTGCACCAATAACAGAGAACCTGAGATTTGTGTTGCAGAACAGCTGCACCAGTAACAGAGAACCTGAACTTTGTGTTGCAGAACAGCTGCACCAGTAACAGAGAACCTGCGCTTTGTGTCGTAGAACAGCTGCACCATTAACAGAGAACCTGAGCTTAACATTTGCACTGGCAACAGAGAACCTGCGCTTAACATTTGTACTGGCAACAGAGAACCTGCGCTTAACATTTGTACTGGCAACAGAGAACCTGCGCTTTGTGTCGCAGAACTGCTGCACCGGTAACGAAAAACCAGCAAAGACCAGAGGTGTGAGCGGTGGGGGCACAGGAGAGCTACTGCCTCTCTGTTTTAACCCCCCCCCTCGCTGCCAGTCACACAGAATGGGCCCTTTCTCTTTTTTTTGTCATTTTTCCCATCTCCCGTCCTTCTCAGTGCTGGTGTTTAACCCAGCACACCTGCCCCCCCCCCCCCCCCCCAGTATACACCACACTGCCCCCTTCCCCACATCACCCTCCGCTTCCTTTAAAGAATTATTAGCTTTCTGATTGTGATCTCTGCACCCCCTCCCTTCCGTCGTCATGGCGATCTGACCCGTACTCTTATTGCTTGTCCCCCCCCAGTCCAACCTGATGTGTGTGTGTGTGTGGGGGGGGGGGGGGGCGCTAAGCTCCTGTCTCTCTGCCCCTACCGCTGCTTTTCACTGAAAGCTCATTCCGACATCTCGCAAAACTTTAATTAAAATCGCTGAGGTACCGGGTAAGGAATGTTTGCTCCCCCCCACACCCCCGATTCTACTTTTCACATCCTTACATGCCCCGCACACTGCCTGAAAATTCATGTACACCCAATCCCCCCCCCATCTGGGGATACTACATAACCCTTGCCTGTGCACTTTACAGTGTCCCCCCCCCCGTCACGCTTGCTCCTTTACTCGACCCTCTGCATGTGCACTGCCGAACCCGGCATGCCCATAACTCTACATCCGCCCCCTTCTGAAAGTGCGTGACAGCCGTCATACGCCTTCCCAGAAAGATTAAGCAATTTTCCGTGGATGTTAGGGCTCGGTAAGATCACTATCTTATTCGTAACTAGACAAACTACCAAAACAAAGTTTGCAGATTTGCTGTATCAGATTCCTCATCTTTACTAAAGATTGGCCCCGGAAATCTGCTTCAATGGCACAGCTATCAACCATTATCTCTCATTTTTGTGTAACAGTATCAAGTGTCACTTCGTTTTATTTAGGTTTGTTGTCTCATGCGTATCAGGAGTGCGTCTATGGCAATAGGGATAAAATTGCCTTCTTAATGTGACAGATTTACTGCACTTCTCTGTTCCAGCACTCAGCTGACCTGCTGCCTTTACACGGCACGTTGAGCAGAACAGATACAATTTACGTGCAATCTGTCTTTTGCAAATTACTCAAATTTTTGTGGTAAAGTGACTCGTGAATTTAGTAACAGCATCCATATGTATGTTTAAGGCTTACGTTCTCTCGACCTCCAGTGATGTTTTTACGTTATAATGTGCACCGGAATGTATCTGCCAAGGGATTAATGTCGTGATACAAAGATTAGTTTAACTTTGGCAAGAAGGCTCCGGATTTCCGTGTGATGGAGGTACCCGTGGTATTAATTACAGCCGTACAGCCGCGACTGTGCTGTAGCGTTAGATAAACCGGCTGCGCAAATGCGCAACAGCACAAAGTGGTACGCGCTCACCATAGCGGCCCAGGCTTGTCATTTATCTAAGGGTATCTTTGACTTATGTACCTCGTAGCGATTCACATCGATTAATTAATTTATACAATTCATTTTTTTACCTGTTTACCTGTTACCTGTTTGTTCTTTTTTAAAAAATAATATTTTCGTTATCCGTTAAAGAAACTGCTGACAGTTTTAATCGATTTCATCTGCGTGGTGATGCTCTTCGAAATGTTGATTTATTTCCTTCTTTCTACCTCGGCTTTAACAGGAGTTACTCGCACAGTGAGGGCTTCACAAAATTATGAGTTAATCGCCTTACGGCCCATGTGACTAAACAGACTTGCCTGCAAATCCGACCACATTACCTTTGAACTGGTGGTGAGAGGAGAAAACGAATCGGCCCGTGCATCCGCGGAAACCAGCCACTCCGCGTGTGCTGCTCGATGCAGGACGTCCCCCGACTGCACAAACTATGAATTACTCTGCTTTAAATACAAAGCAGCGATCTGGCCTGACTGCTGCGCTGTGCAATGCGGTCTGACTCTCGCTACTTATCATTATATTTCCTTTGAAACGTGGGTGGAGTGATATATATATATATATATATATATATATATATATATATATATATATATATATA